GATGTCAGCCACAGAAGAGGGAGCAGGAGGGGGAGAAAAAGAAGGCAGGAAGGGGGACTGTCCCCAGTAAACTCCCCCAATTTATAGTGAATGTGATGTTTGTAGTATGAACAGTATTAACTGGTCAGCCTGGGAATGCCTTGGGGTTGACTCCCCTAGGTTTCTGTTCCCCCCAGCCTTTGCATCTGTTTATCTCAAGACCTTGAAGACCTTGAGCACAATGGCAACCTGCATACCAGTATTAGCTGAAACCTATAAAAAAAAGTTTTTATCAACTTCATTCCCGTGAGAGAGAGTGTTGTAGTCCTTACAAAATCACAGTTTTCCTCAACAGAAAACTGACTTGAAAATTCTGTCCCACTAACCCAGGACACCCTCCTTCATGTGTGTCCTGCACATTTTGGAGTGAGAAGGGAGAGCAGGGAGGAATATGGGAATATAGGAAATCTTCTCAATAGATAAAGAAGACTCTCTCCTGCATCAGGGGCTTTCTCATCCAGGCTCCACACTAGGCTCACTTAGATGCTTGGGTGCAGGGTGTGTAGTGTACTACATTGCACGTTCGGTTTATCTCACTTCAAAATGCGTCTGTCTTCCTTTTTATAGGGCACAGACAAAGAACAGGAGTTTGCAGCTGCAAGTGCAAAACAGCTGGAATACCAGCAGCTAGAGGACGACAAGCTCTCTCAAAAATCATCATCTAGCAAACTTTCCAAGTCTCCTCTAAAGATTGTCAAGAAACCGAAAAATATGCAGTGCAAAGTGACACTCCTGGATGGATCGGAATATGCCTGTGAAGTAGAGGTAAATTACATTTTGTCTTCATTTTTTCCTCCTGACTAGAGGAAAATATTTGAAATTAGATTCCTTATTTAAGCGAAAATATGAATGGTGTGATATTTTACCAGTGCCAAGCACAGAGATGCTTCTGTTGTTTTCTCTGGAGGTTGAAGACATTGCACAGATGTGAGCTGGGTGAGGGATCATGAGCAGTCCCTGGAACAGCCAGAGACTTTGGATTAATTTTATGTCAGCACATGCCACAACAGAATGCAGAAAATGAATTATGGGCAGCAAAGCTCATAAACAAAGAAGGATTTGATCCCATAGGGCTTGTTTTTTCCTTCATGCACTGCTGAGTTGAGACTTGCATTGAGTCACTGTCCAAACAGTAATACTGACCATCGTGAGATTACTTCATGATGTCTGTGCATCATAACTGTGTTGGAATGTTACCGACAGAAAGTTGCTGGTGTTTTTCTGTAGGGA